ATTTAAGGCTTATTTGCCGACATTTTTAATAGTCTCATTTTATTTATCGCTTTATAGGGCACGATGAGAATATTTAGGAAGCAAGAAAGTTACGATAAACATACTTAACCCTCCAGTGTATGCTCATTAAATGATGCGGGTCTTTTAAGGAAGTAATAAACTTGTTTTATCAGACTAACATCAAAGAAAAACGCGGTTTTTTTGCAAATAGTTCAATGTTCCAAAAATTTGGAATCCTCACAGGGACAAATAGCATATTTGATAACCGCCTTTACTTTATTTATTTGTTTCATAAAGTCGTAATTATACTGAAATTTTTGTATGTTTCCATGTTTAAGCCGATAATATTTAGAACCTTTTGACACTTAAATACCTGGGTCAGCTTATATGCAAGGGATAAATCTGCTAATATTGTTAAATAAAGCAAATTTTAATTTCTTTTGTTTATGAAAAGATGTTACTTTTAAATGAAATGAGTTACAAATTTTACTAAAACGAGTTGTTTTATTTTCAAGTTATTTATATTGCTGTTTTGTTGCTTTGTCTCCAAAAAAGCCGTATGGATGGACCATCCTTTGTTTAGATAGCTTTAATTATTCACCAAAGTTAATTATTTATGAAGCATTTGGTAAGTTTATTTTCTCTGTGTTTATTATATATATATATGTAATTTTAGATAAATATATAAAAGTAGATTAGGTTTTAAAATCATACACCGTTAATCATCACCGTTAAAACTGCTACACCAAGAAAGCGACAAGCTACAGACGTGAAATTTATACGACAGGAAGAATGTGCTGCCATATACAAATGATTATCTTTTCAGCGCATTCAGGCAAAGCAGTCGCAGGTAGCGACTCCTGCAATGTGTTTAACTGAGGAAATTGCTCAGCCGGTTTCTCATACACATGTTGCTTTTTAACGTTGTTGCCTGGTGAAAAGTTGTTGTGATGCCTCGTGTAAAAAGCAGAAATGCGTACCAGCATGTTTCTTATTTTGATAATGGTCGAATTGTAGCGTAACGGAATTGCGGTTTATCGTATCACAGTATTGCTGTTCGTGTCGGTCGAGATCCAAGGACTGTTAGCAGAATATGGAATCGATGGGTTCGGGACGGTAATACGTAACGCCGTGCTAGATCTCAACGATCCCCTATCACTAGCAACCGAGAAGACAGGCATGTTACCCGCATGATCTTAATGGATCGTGCAGCCACGTCACGACGACGTTTGCAACAGCATGGACTCTCAGCTCGGAGGCCATGGCTGTGGCTACCCTTGACGCTGCATCACAGACAGGAGCGTCTTCAATGGTGTGAACAATGACAAACTAGGCGCACGAATGGCGAGGCGTCATTTATTCAGATGAATCCAGGTTCTGTTTACAGAGTCAAGATGATCGCGTCAGAGTTTGACGGCATCGTGGTGAACTTACATTGGCAACATGCATTCGTCGTCATACGTGTATCACGCCTTACCCTGGCGTGAAGGTATGGAGTGCTATTGGATACACGTATCGGTCAACTCTTATTCGCATTGACGCCACTTTGAAAAGTGAACGTTACATTTCTGGTGTGATACGACCCATGGCTCTACCCTTTATTCGAGGCCTGCGAAACCCTACGTTTCAGCTGGAGAATGTACGACCGCAAGTTGTCAATATTGTGCGGACTACCTTGATACGGAAGATGTTTGGTTGTTGCCCTGGCCTGCAAGTTAACCAGATCTCTCGTCAATAGAAAACGTTCATGGATTTGCCTAGCAACTGGCTCGTCACTACGGTTGATCCAGTATAATATATTTGTCCAATAAATATCATTTTGTTATCTGAATTTCTTTCTGGTGCAGCAATTTTAATGGCTAGTAGCGTACATACACCTATACTTTACTATATATCACATATACACCTAATATATAATTTATTGTTAACTACATTATTATAAAGGAAAAAGAGGGCAGGAAATCAATATATATCTATCAAGTTATAGGATTATTAGGTTCAATGGTTATGAATCGAACGAAAACACTTTTTATCCCGTTGATTATCGATACAGTTTTTCTCCTTTTTTGCCATAAGAAATACATTTTTAAATTTTTAGTTTAAAAATTTTTTATATTACGGAAATAAAATACAGGGACTGCCGTATTTTCATAGAGTTACAACATTTGAACATTTATATATGTTCTAAACTCTTTTATTTTACTTACACTGAAAACATTATAATACAGTAAACTAATGTGCTATTATGTAATCAAGGAAGCAGTAGATAAATGATTCGCTTTACATAACGAACTCTCCAGCTCCACGAAAGCAATAAGTTTTCCGCATTACACTAGCTTAAATTTTTTAATATTCCAGGCTCCAGATTGAACGCAGTGGTTTTATAAGCGGAAGATTATTTCGATAAAGCTGCTGTGATATGAAAGGCCTTTTCTGGCTGACTATTATCCAGAGGATTAGCTGCAACCGTATCCTAAACATTCGTTAGAAAGGAGCCCCATTTCCGTAATTGCGTTTGCTTCAGGGGGATGGCTGCAGTGTAGCCCGAACTAAATAATCGTCACTAATTACTGGAATTTTAGACTAAAAGCCTTTAAACTTGTTGAAAGTGAAGTAGTGAGATTTCGGAACCGATTCATTTGTACATATACAGCCCATTCATTCATTAATACTTGTTGAAAGTATTCAATTTGAAATGCTATGTTCAGTCATGACTTGTTGGTTGCAATTAGTAGAAACATAGAATCCATTATGTATGTAGCCCCACTCTTTCCACATTGCAGTGAGTTCTAGATACTGTGGTAATTGATGTATCTTTGATCTTCCACTGGTAGATGACTCTACAATCAATCATGTCTTCAAAATTGAGAAAACTATAAGGCGATTGTGACAGAATGCTATATGTCTAACAATACAATCCAGCTTCATTTGGTGAATATGCTATAGTATGTCTAACATTGACAATCCAGCTTCATTTGTGCATATGCTATATGCTATGTGTCTAACATCGACAACGCAGCTTCATTTGTGCATATACATTCCATTCGCTTTTATACTTGTTGAACGTTTACCTATAATTGCTTATAATTTACCTTCATTGAAATTCAGTTTGTTGAGCATAAACGAAAGATGGAAAAAATTGTGAATCATTTTTAGCCTTTATAGAATGATTCACAATATTCGCAAAAACATATTGAATAAATTGTACCTCATATAACACTGTCAAAAGAAATCTTTATTTAAACCTCTAGCTATAATTGTTTATAATATAATTTTATTTACCTTTTTTGTAATATACTTAATTTTATTAACATTGTTTAAATTTTTTTAAATTTATTTATTTTAAAAACCAAACACATTTTAACCCTTTGATAGTCATTACAGTTTTTTTTTCTTTTAGATAAGTAATTCATTTTTAAATCTTAAGTTTAAAATTTAAAATTACGGAAATAATGAACAATGAGTAATTTTATAGCGTTACAGCTTTTTGATAAATTGATATATCTACATTAATATATGTTCTACACGCTTTTTTACTTTACTTATACTCTAAGCATGATGATTCAGTAAACTAATGTACTATTATGTAATGGTGAAGCAGTGGATAAATGATTCGCTTTACATAGCAAACTCTCCAAGCTCCACGAAAGCAATAAGTTTCCCGCATTACACCGGCTTAAATTTTTGATATTCCAGGCCCCAGATTCAACGCAGTAGTTTTATAAGCGGAAGATTATTTCGATAAACCTGCTGTGATATGAAAGGTCTTTTCGGCTGACTATTATCCAGAGGATTAGCTGCAACCGTATCCTAAACATTCGTTAGAAGGAGCCCCATTTCCGTAATTGCATTGCTTCAGGGGGATGACTGCAGTGTACCACGGACTAAATAATCGCCACTAATTACAAGAATTTTTAGACTAAAAGCTCTTAAACTTGTTGAAAGTTAAGTAGTGAGATTCTGGAACCGAGTTGCCATGAGATTCATTTGTGCATATACAGCCTATTCGCTTTAATACTTGTTAAAAGTATTCAATTTGAAATGGTGTTAAAACGATAAGTAAAAGAGAAAACAATGTACACCTAAGAGGAGCTTTTTAGCCTTTTAATAATATGCATTTTGCATTCAGAAAAGTAGGATTTCACAAGTGTTTTATTTTTGAACTTTAACTTTTGAGGACAACTTAAAAATGTAGGATTAAATGGAAAGCTTTCACTGAATGCAAGTAGGTTGTGAATACAGGTTGGATTCGAAACTGTACAAGAGGTGCTAAGCTGAATATTTCCTTACCTTGCATAAACCGGTAAATACAAATCGTTAGGCAGGTGGCTTGATGGCCGAGTGGTTATCACTCTGGCACTCGGTACCACAGGTATCGAGTTCCAATCATGGTGGTACCGTACCCTGGCGGCTCGGCGGGGGTACCATGGATGCTGCAATGGTTCGGAATCCTTTTTTTAATCTGTAGGTCCCAGTCTCCATATGACCGTAGAGCGTCACAAAGCCCAAAGACTTCTTCACACCCATATCATTTCCAAACTGTAATTCCAACTGTCCATTAGGTAGCTGGTTTATTCTTCCGTTTTGCGGGGCACCAATTTCAAAATTCTCAGATAGCATAATCAAGGATACGAATTGGAAGCTGTGATTTCTGATCAAATTTTAAAGTTGAAATGAAATACACTGTACCATAGTTAAGCTGATTTCCTGTTCTTCAAGTTGAGAAAGTCTTTGTCCAGAAGATTTAATGTATCCAATCCCGGCACAGAGTTTAACCCAATAAATAATCTGTCAAATAAACTTCTGTACACTTTTATTACATTAATATGTGAATGATTAAATTATTGCTATTCTCTTAGTTTATTTAAATGTGTTAAGCTAAAAAAAAAAAAAAAATAAATTGATAAAAAATTTATTTATGAACTCACGCTACAGATAGAACATTTTTGTAATAATAATAACAATATGTTTTATTAGATTATTATAGCAACGCGATAGACTGAGCAGACTGGCGCAGTGAAAGCGTGCTGGGCTTATATCCCAGAGGTCCGTGGATCGAAACTCCACTCTGTTGATAAAATATTTTTTTTTTATTTCAGATGATGGTTTATTAACGTCATTTGATGTACGTATATCCCAAGCACACTTTAGTACAATAAATCAACTACATAAACGTCTGTAAACTTTTCTAACAATAGTATGTGAAAAGATTAAATTATTGTTATACACTTTCTTTATTTTAATGTGTTTAAGCTAATAAGTATAAATATTTTTATGAACGTAAGATAGATGTAGAACGTTTTTATAACATTATTAACAATATGTTTTATCAGATTATTGCAGGACAAATTTTAAACGGCAGAGTGGCGCAGTGGAAGCGTGCTGGGCCCATAACACAGAGGTCCGTAGATCGAAACCACGCTCTACTAGTAAAGGTTTTTTTATTTTTTGACGATAGACTTTTAACACCAGTTAATGTCCATGCATATAAAAGGAATTTTAAACACAATAAATAATCTGACGAATAAATTTCTGTACACTTTTCTTGCATTAATGTGTGAAAGATTTTTAATAAAACACTTTAGTTCATAAAATGGGCATTTGAAGATGATTGCACTTTTTGGAGTTGGAGAATGGAAATCACACAAAACGTCATGTGGGTATTTGTCAATCATTGAAGCGATTAGAGAGGAATAAACCACTTATCTAATTAAACTGCATATAAGTACGAACAACTGAAATATTTGTAATTCTCTATTTTAGTTCTTATTGAAAAATATATTTGAGGAGCAAATATCCTTTTCTAAGTTAAAATTATCAATTTGAGTTAGCGTAAAAATATGAATTTTTATCCAGGCATTGCAGGTTCAGCGAGGAAAGATTTGGAATTTGCGTAGAATTTTAAAATTTTATTTGTTCTATAATATTACGATATAATTTCAATTGGAAGCATTTTTCCTGCTACTGCAACTTTACATCTATTAAGCATACAATGATTTGTGCAGCTTAAAATAGATTTAAAGTAATGCAGGCTTTCCCAGAATTCTTTACTGTTTGAAATGTCCTTGTCAATTAAAGTAAAAACTATTAAAAACACTGACAAAATTCCATGGAAAATTATATTCGCTGGATACTTTTAAAAATTTGTCTTATCTTCTAATAAAATATGTAATTTTTCTTAAATTTTCCAGCACTTCAACGTAGAACAAAAGGAGTATTTTAGAAGGGAAATAAATTTTTTATACAATTAATGTAGAAAAAATATAATTAATATTTTAAATCCAAGTCTCAGATACTTGATAAAGCAAAAGAAGTCTCCCATACTTTAAAAAAACTGTAATGGATTTCATAAGAATTTCAATTTAATCGAATACAAACAGGAAAAACAAGAACATCCTACAGATTTATATAGTACAGATGCAAGTAGGTAAAAACTACACATTTAATCGAATCAATCGACAGAAACATTTAAACAAATTGTCACGCAATATACCAAAATATTAATAGCTAATAATGAACTTTATCCGTATTTTTAATATACAAAAAAGTGCTTATCTGCATATTGTAATTAATAATTGATGTAAAAATTATAATTTAAGCAACTACATCTTGACCATGTGATCAAGGAAATTTAATTCACTAAAAATGCATATTCCAACTCTTCAATAGAACAGAAAATACAACAGAAATGGATTCAATATAATAACTTCAAGCATCTACCACCACCGTAGTTGATAGAATTATAACACCAGAAGGAGACATTACCCAATTAAACCGATAGAGCAGTTTTGTTGGTGACTTCAAAGCGAAACACAGCACATGGTGTTATGATCAAGGCCATTTTACTCACAATTGCTCAAATCTAAAGTATCTCAACATAAACGCCGTTTAACCTGCGTTCTTCTACAACCACACATAGTATTTTGGAAATGGAAATCATTAAAAGTTACAGCACCGCTGACGCAACATTATCTCTCAATGTGTCTCAAACGAACATAATTGAGCTATATTAAACACAAATATCGAATTGGGTCAGAAGAGAAGTGACGAGATATGAACCACTACCCTGTTCCCCTTTCAAGATTCCATCAACTCCACCATTACAGGCAATTCTACAATATTGACTCTGATACTAGATACAACATCTGCTTTGATAGTTCTGTACATTGCAAATAATTTTATACGGAGATTTAACATGAATGCAAAGTACATTAATTTCTTGTTTAACGTTATCTCACAGCCGGCTTTGAATAAAAGAGTTTCACAAGCAATACTTATTTTCAGATAAACAATTTATTGTTGTTTGTTTGTAAATTGTTTTTTAATGAAAAGCAATACTCGGAAGATTCTCGATACATACACGTATCATTGTCCACTATCTGCTGTTATTGTTTTTAGATTAAACTCAGTCACTAAAGTATTTAATTTAACGGTAGCAATGTTGCTGCAATATTAGAGTAAACAAGTAGAGAATCTTATGATTTGCATGAAAGGTGTCAGCAAAATTAAAGTATATACATCAAACTAAGCATTTTATTACTAATGAATTCTGAAAAATATATAACTGCCACAAATTAACACCAATAACTGTTCATTTGAAGGAAGATACAGAAATATTCATTTTCATACAGATATTGAAAACAAAGTTTGATTAATAATATTTAAGGTAAAAAAACGCCGAGAGGTTTTTATGGTTCATAGTGAAATTTTGAAAGCAGTAGGTTTGTGCATAGTGTAGATGCAAAAAATATTGATAATAATATTTTTAAATCAACGGTTAGAAATATTACAATAGATTCTAAAAATTTTATAAACACCCATAATTAGATAAAATATCGGTATAAAACACATCATAGAAGCATCTGATGCACAACTTGCTATAGATACATCCGTTGCATAGAAACGAGTAAAAATCCATTTGATATTTGTTGATTTATTAACATAATGCATCTAAATCACGAATTTTCAAATTATAACATAAAATTAACACTTATGGAAAATTAATTAAAACACCAATTAGAAATGAATATTTTAAAACTAAACCAATAGAATGTTTAAAAACACTTCAACTTAAAATATTCATTTTACAAATACACTAAAAATATTTTAAAGCCAATTAAAATATATTGAATAGATTCTAGCTTAAAGATGCATATTTAAAATAAAGGAAAAAAAAATTTAGACTAATATTTAGCAATACAATTTATTATTCATGTAAACAAGAATTTTAGATTAAGAATCCTTATATCATTTAAAATTTGATAATTAACACGAGAATCGCATGTAAAACGTGAACGAATCACAACGAAACAATCACAATAAAACTTACAAACTGAAGAATAGGCCACTCAAGCACAAAACGACTAATCCTCTTAATGAAAAATTCAATTATTGTAGGCGTATTTAATATATTTCAAGTGTCTCTCAAACTTAGTTATGGGGTGGTCATATTGCATTTCTGGTTTAGATCTTGGAACTTTCTTCAACACTGGTTAATTTATTAGCACTTTTATCCAATAGCAATTATTGCCCAAAAATTTTTGGGAGAGAACATTCTTTAGCATCGAGATTAAATTACAGGGTAAACAACATATGGCATTAACAAAAAAAAAAAAAAAAGTTTTACAATTAATCTACAAAATAATATTTTAAATGCATATGTATGCTATGAGATAGTTACTATATTTTTTTACATTTATGAGTTTGCAGCGACTTCTTCGAGCAGAAATTATCACAACAAACAACGCCTTTTTCCTTGTGCTCAGAATGGTATTTTTTTTTAAGTGTCTATTGAGCGAACTTTCACGGGCAGTTTCAAAATCACAATAATCACAATGATGAGGCTTTGTTATGCAGTGAACAGCCGCGTGACGTTTAGACTGGACGAATGAGTAAATGTTAGTTGGCAAATTTTGCAGATGTATGGTCTATCACCGCTGTGAATTCACATGTGAATTTTTGAGATCCGAGGATTGGTAAAGGCCATTTTGCAAATGTTGCACACGTGCGGTCTTTTCACCGGTGTGAATCGGCTTGTGACGCTGCAGGTTAGACAAGTTAGAAAATTATTTTTTTGCATACATCCCACACGGGTTTTTTCCTTGGTCTCTTGATTTCTTAGAAGAACTCATAGCTGAGCCCGAACACTCCTTGTAACTTGTGGAAATATTACTTTGAATATTTTGAAAGCTTCTGTTTTCACCACCGTTTATGCCGTCCGTTTTGTACGAGGCTCCCCTGATGCTCAGGTCACGAGGCTGACAACTATTTTCGTTCGGATTTATTTCATAATAACGCCTTTTTTATTCTGTACACTGCAACCGGGCAGGCAGTTTTGAGTATCCGATATATTTCTTTTATTTGAAGTTGGCTGCAACAAAAAGTATCCAGTCGATTGTTGCAAGTTCTCTGAAGAACGGACAGCATTTTGTCCACCTTCCGCACCCACATCAAAGCTCATGTGATTTCGAGGACCTGACATACGCTGAAACCGACCAGATGACGATTAATTTAACATCATATTTCCTGTCCTGGGGCGATTCTGCATGTTACCAGACGACTGTTCATGTGTCCCATCTCCAACATTTCGTCTAGCAAGGCGATTCTGCACGTTACGCCCTGGTGGTGCTCCTAGTAGCGTTTCAGGAAGTGACATGTTCTCCTCCTTATCTTTGGGGATTTCGGCAAAACTATCGAATTTTCTTTCTTCCTTTGACATAATTAAAATTAGTAATCCAAATAGCTCGATTTTCAAAAGTGTAATAGTGAATTAGAATGTTACAACTCAAGGCACCAAAAATTATATTTTTTTAAAATTATAGAAATTTTCTATTTAACTTTAACTTAGAGGACTTAAAAAAAGTAAAATAGCACGCTGTATTCATAAAACTAGTACACTGGTGGACAAAATTAAGAGATGGAAGACATTTTCCCAAATATCTCAAAAAATATTGAATATAAATAAATGAAATTTGGTATGGATATAGCTTCTTCCATGATAATAAAGTATGCAAAACAAAAATGAAAGTGCCATTCACTGGCATGACCTATTGCCAATAAATCCAATGTAGTCTGAA